GCGCGTGGGTGGGTGGGTGGGTGGGTGGGTGGGTGGGTGTGTGTGTGTGTGTGTGTGTGTGCAGGAAGAGTCGGCCAGTGGGCTTTGGGCCAGCCTTTGACGGGTTGGAATTTGATTCTGGCAGCTTACGAAACCCAGGGTTTAGCACGGTTTAGCTTATGGTGCCCCTTTTTGACGCAAAGAGCTTGCGGCGCTTGCGGTTCTGAAAGAAGGCAGTACCCTAGATTCGTACTTACTGTGCGCACGGCAAAACATAAGAATGTGATCTCGCTTGGATGGCTTACGAAGGACAAGGATTTGCCGGCGGCAGCTTGCTCTCTGCCACTCGCCTTCTTGCTTCCTTGCAAAGAGGTTTGCTTACTGCTCATTGATAGATACCTACTTACTGCAGCACCATTCGCAACAGCGAGTCTCCGAACATTGCAAAGCCCTCATGCGTGACAACTATTCCATTAGCAGCCCTGCTGGGCAGACTCTACAGGAGGACTGGCGGGGCTGCAATAGCCCCAAAACCCTTGTGAACTCGCCACAAACCAACAATGCGAACAAATACCTGCCTGCAACAATGCTGAGGACCTCACACGCAGGCCGCTTCTTGGCACCTCCGGGCCAGCAGTGTGTGGGGTTGTGCTGCACAACATTCTGAAACATTCTGTGCGACAGTCGGGCTTCCATTCACGGCGACAGAGTTTTAATGTTTTTGCGAACTCTGCACGGATGGAACCAGGGTTGTTGGCAACTTGACCGTTTTCAGAAGACTTTATTGCTCATGATCCAGTTGCAGCCGAAAGCCATCTAGCGGGGAAGCTTTAACTGAAGACATCCACAAGTTACCGGTTAGTGACGCACACGCACGGGCACGCCTGGGCTTTGTGAGGCAGGAGGCAGATCCTTTGCCGTCTGAGACTTCTGCGATGCCTGAAGCGAAGCAGGTGGTCTTTCAGACATGGACGCGAACAGCTTTATAGAGGGCCATACTTCCCCCAATGGAGAATCGAATGGAAAAGACAATGGAACATGACATGGAAGTTGGGTGATATAGTAGGTCATATGTTTTCGACATATGGCCCTGCCTCACTCTGTATATTTTCATATAGTATCCCAAATGTAGCATGCAGTTTTCGGCATTCAGCAAGCGTGTGTCAAGCTTACCAGGTTGGTATGAACCGAGAAGGAACTTCAGAGATTTGTGGCCATTCCATTGTTTTAAGCTGGTCGCCCCTGCATGTATATCTGGCCCGGCCCCTTTTTAAATGGTCTTCTCCACAGCTTGGGCTTTTGGCCCTCATTTGGAGTAAAATGGAGTAAAGGTTCAAAATGTTGTCATCCCTTGCGAAAACGTGAAGACAAAAACTTATTGAGCACTTGATCCCCGGGATGCTCAACTAGCATGGTAGGGTACTGTCTATGGGAGCATTGGGTGGAAGTATCGACCATTTTTTTGTCCCTTTGCACTTAAGAGAAGCCAGGGCAGCCGCAACGAAGGTCTGCGACACTTGCTCTTCTGCCACCTACCAGGCCCGGCGTGCAAGGGCTACTTGATTGAACTCACTTTGAGTCGAGAGACAATTCTTGTGGGGTACCTGGTTCTAGGTGAGGCGTCTTGCAGGCACTCTTCCTTGCCGTCTTTTGTAACTTGCCTCTGCGTTGAAGGTGACCTCCTGACCATCGCAGAAAGCGTAAGTGCTGGCTGTCGCGTCAAGATCCTGCACAAAGATCTCCCCTCCCAGCCCTCACATGCACATTTTCCTCGTGGCATCTTTTAAAACCTGAAGCCTACGCAGTTCACATCGGTACCAGCGCAACCCACCAAGATTTCGGCAAGAATGAAGTTGTTTTCGGGGGAAATGATGCATGCCCAGACCCACGTGCTGATCAGATTTTTGTCCAACAGTACACACGCAATCCAGTACGCCTGTCAGCCTCTCTGCGGCACATGCGTGGGACGCGAGGCCCCGACAAGATCTGGATGCTCTGGCGTCGACCTGGGCGCTCAGCAGCGAGCAGAGGCTGGAAGCAGTACTTTTCCACGAGCTACGGTCCAATTTGTAGATGTCCAGGCCTGGGTCTTACAGCTACAGGTTGCAGACTCTTTGCCACTTTGCCAACCTTCCTGCCAAGCACAGCCCTTAGCTCCTGCAACATGGTCAACCGATCCATAAGGTATTGCTTGAGATTGCTGTCTCAAGACAGATATCAACATCTATGTTCAGACCCTGGCTATGCTATGTAGGGAAACTTTAAACACTCAGGTTTGTGCGTCAAAGCTTTCATTGTTTCTTCCAGGCTCCCGACAGTCGTAGGACATCCTCTTGCTTCGGACCTCGCAACTCATGGGGTTGCAAAGCCCAACAAAAGTCTTGGCTGCAACTGTGGCTACATGATCATGGCATATCATGGCCTTTTTGCTGGGCGCAGCCCGCAGAAACAGCCTACAATCATTTGGACTGTTAGCCTCCACGACAAAAGATCGAAGAGGATCAGAAAACAACAAAGCCACGGAAATGCGGACTGTTTGGTGCGATTCGAAGCCACATCCAGCAAGTCTGAAAGAATGAGCCGAGCCCGGAACTGGTGCCAATTCCCCACAAAAACGAAAGACTCTTCAACTCAAAGCATCTGAATCTGCAGGACCCGCAGGTCTCCAACTGTTAGAGCGCTGTCTGTTACCCAAGCCAAAACTCACTTCATGCATCCCTTGTCCAAGGCTCGACAAAAATGACCCTTAAATGGTAGCAGCCGCTGTTATAAAGCTCCACTGAGGTCCAAGCTCAGTTCCCGGAACACAGCGTATGCACGGGCAAAGCGCCTTGTATTCAAGCACAAATAGCTGGGGTCAAGGGCTGCTTGAACTGAATGCTGAAACAAAAGCCTGCCTCCTAAATCTTCTCACCTCGAGACATGCAGCATCTCGCGTTATGCAGCATGCACTGTTCCCTGTTTTTCATGAAGTTGCCGTTGGTGGGCATGGTATTGGGCAACGCTGGAGACACTACGAGAATCCACAGCCGAAAAATGCAAGCAGTCAGTCCTATCTCCCATGAATCTCACCAGGAGCCTCTGCCTGTACCTGCTGAAGACTGAATCATGCGTAGAGGGCCCTGTATTAAACTGTAGTACCTGTCTCTCCTCTGGGCCGGATGCAAGATGAATGGGCCGGAAGGTAGACATGACTAAGGATTCCTGCAGCCCAAACCCTCAATGCCCTGACCCCAAGTCCTTTTTTTGTTGTAGCCTGGCCTCAGCGGCTGATCGAAGCGGAGGCGAAACGTCTGCGGCTCGTGACTGCCTCATGTGCTGCACTCAAGCTTTCACTTTTGAGGGTTTCCTCGGCCTATGGTCATGAGCAAGACGTTTAGGATCAGGCACCTGCTAGCAATGAGTACGCCGAACTGTCTGTGAGTCTGCTGCTGCAGCCCTACCTGCAAGCCTTGCCCCAACTTGCCAAGTCCAGCTGAGATGTCTGAGATCCCTCGCCATCAGCAGCAATCGCTAGGAGATGAAGGAAGTTCGGCGTTGCCTCCGACGCTGACAAACTTATGTCTTTAGACCTTCCTCCTTGCTGATGCCGCTCCTTCGGTACCTTCAATGCTGGCCGATGATTTTCGTGTGAGCTGGGCACTCAATTCCTAGCGGAAAAAAACCTTGCCACTCGATCCACTGCCAGCAACATACACAAGCCCCTCAAGTTGGTTGCTGGTCTCTATCCCCATGACGCAGCAGCCCCGTGTCGGCCCGTGTCCACTGCGCCTGAGACTCCAAGCCCATGGTCTTCACACCGGGCCGAGGCAAAGGACTTGAGCCGAGCTTGGAAGGGTGCTGCAGAAAAAGCTCGGGGCTTCAAACTGAGCAGATAGCGCGAAGCAGCTGTATGCCATGTCCATGCATTTACGGCCTTTCTTCTGGTTATATGCGCTTTGTGGGATCCTGATCATCTACTTGTGGCCTGCGCGGGTTGCCCTTTCTGAGCGGCGCACAATGTTGGACACGTGCTGGGCTTGAAACTGGCCAGGGCTGCGCAGTCAACATAATACTGTACATGAATGCATGACACCACTGGGCACACATTCCACAGGGTTGGCGAATGAAAATGATCGAAGATTCCTGGCCTCGTCGAAGCGATCCAGCCAGCCAGTCACGCACCTGGCGCCCCGAGGATCTGCAATGCCAATGGGGGTTGAGTTTTAGCCCACGAGCCGGCCGTGAGCGAATGTGCTGATTGTGCAACAGGAAAAAGGCGATTCGGCTTGAGATTAGATTCGCCGGTCTGCATTGGTGTGACAACTGGCTCCAATTCACCATGCAGTTCATTCAATGCTTGCTGTAGAGGTGCCGAACAAGCACACCGGCATCGCCAGTGCTGGTGGCCTTGGTGCATGCCCCAGTGAGCCTTTTCCTATCCATCAGTCAGGAGCACAATGCTCAATAGCTTTTAGCCTTTACCTATCAAACACTTGCAAACGCGTGGCTGGGCAGGTATCAAACTGAATGCTGGGGAATAGGTTTTCCCTGTCTGAGGACCCCGCCGCAATAGACCAAACGATGTTTGCGAGCTCTTGCGGGCGGACCTCCTCAAGTCAAGGTAATCTTCCACAGCAAAGGCGCCTAGGATGACATACCCTCGCAAGTACAGGCTTTTGGGGCTAGGTCTCAGCTCACCGACTCGTCGAGCCTGTACGGCGTCCTCTTTGGTAACGCCATGTTGGCTGAGCGAGCCCAGGGCCATCCGCAGCAGGTCTTCGGCCTCATCCACGTCCAACCCCACGAATCAGGAAAAAAAACTCAAGTACGCGGGTTGGAGCATCTTGTGCCGGCATGTTTATCTGCAGTTGGCACTGAGATCTGCTCGGGCAGGGTCAACTTTGCCAAAGCCCAAGCCTCAGCCGCTCAAATTTGACCCTTCTGCATGGCGGCAGCAGGAACACAGGTTCATCTGCCCAGTAGGAGATCAAATTCGAATTGTTTAAAGGTATTTCAAGCCGCCCAATGTCTCCTGAGCCGGGGGTCCAGCTATGTTGGACCAGGTTCGCACAGGCACCTGACCAGCGCAACCCCCGCAAGACCGTTGTGGCGCTTGGCATCGTCATTGCTGTGGTTGTCGTGGTGGCGGCAGGCAGATGCACACAAGCTAGTGGAAGAAGCAACAACCACTAAAGAATGGTAGCGGTGCCCCATGTCGAAAACAGGCACTAAGTCACTAAGCAAGCGCGACCTTCAATTCTAGCTGCATGCTGCAGCCACCTTTTAATGATGAAATGCACCAGCTTCGCTTTTTCTATTAGCTGCACTGGGGCCTGAGAATGTCTTGGGGGCTGCCAGCCTGTGGCCCGACCTGGGGGTTGTCCAATGTTCCGCTTCCCAAAAGCAACCCTTGCGCCGCCCTTTCGCCCGCAGCATTTTCTTGAGATGTGCAACCAATGATATCCTATTCCTATTTACAAGTCCTGTATTCGATAGATTTGCTGAATGCTTGGGAGTTCTGTTGGGGCCCTTTATGGT